TACAAGAGCTGCTGTTTCTGTATCCATTTGTTTGTTTGTGCAGTGGTATCTACCTGAAGAGAGCAAGATTGATACCAAGTGATTACTACAGTCTATAAAAGAATCTTCTTCATTGTTAAAATAAGAATAATGTATTTTAAAATATTTTTTGACTTTCATAACCGATTTCAGTACCTGCTCACCCATCCTCCCTCTGAAGTGCACCTAATCCAATAATGGTAACTGGAATTAAAAGAAAAGCCAAGAGACCAATTATGATTAGAGGGTAAACACAGTGATTATGATCACTGTGAGATCACAGAAAGTTTTGAGTATGTTTTAGGAAAGTTAAGCAGAGATTTTGTGAGATACTAGTAGCAAATTTGTGGTAATGTGAGATCTGAGCTGAGCTCTAAGAGCACAGTTTCAACTAGGCACTTGGAGTCTGAGCTGCCCGGGAGTGAAACCCCAGGTTCATGATCTTGCTGGTGGAGTGCACCGAACACCCACTGTGCCACTGGGCTGGCTCTCCAGATTATGTTTTCCAATGGAGCTTTTAGTATAGCAGACATCTGCTGTAGCTTTGGGAACCTATGTTTTCTAATAGCCAGAGAGTAAAGAATTGTCTGTTCAAAGATAATATTCAGTGGCTTATGTAATAAAGCGCAGCTGCTTGTTCCCTGATATACAAGCTAAATAAAAGCTCACATCTGTTTGTACTATACAAAGCCTGCAAAAATAGCAGATGTTTACCAGTAGAATTGTCTAGAAATGGCAACAAATAGAAAAACAGGTCAGAAAAGGGGAATGAATCTCATTTAAATCTACAGTGAAACTGTGGCTTCTGCAGTGGAGGTACAATGTTAGAAAAGGGGTGATACTCACTTTGCTGCTTTAAAGTAAATAAAGCAGAGGAAATGAAGCAATTTGTGTTTATAGTTACATAGTTAAAGCATAAAACTCGGCAGCATTCAGTTACTTAATAAATACCCTACGTTAGGAAGTAAATTTGGAATTGTATTTCTGGTTGTCAAGTCTGCATGGTGTTTGAAAAAATTTTAACTTATTTTTATAAATTAAAGGTATGACCAAAATAAATTAGCTTTCATTAGGCATTAAAACTAATTATTTTTCACCTGGTAGGTTTATTATCTATAAGTTGAAATGTTTTTGCAAAGAAAGGGAAATGTTAGTAAAATGTCTGTAAGGCATGATTATGGGTTTATTTCTGAGTAAGTTCTACTGGAATGTGCCTCAAGAGTGGTCATGGTAATATATCTAGGAAACCCAGACTTACAGAAGTGTATTAACATTTGAGTTATGCAAAGTTACAAAGTTATGAGTTAAGTTATGAAGTAAACTTGTACTTTCTTATGATGACACTTCAGTATATCATGCAATAATACTGTAATTTTATTTCATATAGGAAAACTAGGACATTATTTTAATATGTCCATTATTTTATTATACCATTTTTGGCCCGTATAAGACAATCCTATTTTACCTGTGTGGAAACGCTTGTCAAGTATGTGGTTGTTCAAAATAGCAGAGTGATTGGTTTCGGTTTCCCTGTTGAAATATATCTAAAACAATTATTGGATGTCCATGGTTGTACGTACAAAGAAAATTAGCCATATAATTTTCTTTTGAAACTTATCTGTATTATGTTTTTTCTCTTCTGCACTAGTGAAACTTGGAAAATTGGATGTCTTAATGATTTGTTTTTCTTCTTTATTCCTAAATTATTTAGTCACAAGTTTGGTACTTTTGATCTTTGTCATAATTTACCACTTTTTAGTATAAACCACACTTCAAATCTTATGGCAGAGAAATGTTGAATAGTGAGAACTTCCACTAATTTGTTAGTGGTGTGTTTTAAAAAAAGCGAGATTATTTTGTCTTATTATTATTAGATTATGCCTATCAAATTCTTACAGCATTTTAAAAATTGTGGAGTTCTCTTATATTTCTCATGATGCTAAAGTATCAACAAATTCTTAAATATTTCTCAACTATACTGGAATGTGGGAAGTGAAGATTCGATACAGCTTCATCATAAAGCTATTTTCTGTATAGGTATTAGTTGAAATATTTAAATGTGAGTTGAACTATGTACTTCTTAGAGATACTATGAATTAAGCACTGTGATTTTGACTCTATTTATCTGTGTGTCTTATTGGCGTGGGTCCATGTAGACACTGAAATATTGATACCAATGCTGATTCCTTCCCCAAAAATGTTGTTTCAATGAGTTAACATCATAAGATGAAAAAAAAAATCTTACTAAAAAATTCTGGACATCTCTTATTATCAGTTTAATTGCTCAGTTGTTCTTTATTTCCACTTTTATTGCGTATCTATTATATATAACCAAAATTTCATAATCGCAGTTATGTGTGGCAGTTATGAATCTGGGGAAATACATATACTTCAGTAATTTAAAGAATTATTTTCTTTGGAGGACAAAGAAACTATTAAATTAAATTCATCTGACTATTCTAGTGAGGACAGAATACTGTGTATGTTTTTAAACTAGACTTATAATACTATGGGTTTTGAGAATAGGTTAATAAAGGATATAAAAGGTCAGATGCTGTGGTTTGGTTTTGTGGCAGAACTCGACAGTTTTGTAACTGAAATAGAACATGTGTTTCCTTGCTAATAAAGATGTTTCACATCTTGTCAAGGACAATTTTTTGGTCATCATGTGCCTGAAACTCTTCAGTTATTTCCTTTCAGATTGAAATAATTAGACTTATAGGATCTAAACTGACATTTTGGAAGGTGTGTTTTTATTATTTAATGTGTGGTGATTTTGCTAGGGGGAAAGATGCTCATTCTCTGTCCAGATGTGGCATTATTTCTGCTGTGCACTTCATCATGATCTGTGGACTATTCTACCTCCCAAGACAGCCCAGGAGATTCTTACAGATGTACTAGAGCAATCTTTGGCTATGCTGTCCTCCAGGTATTGTCAGGCCTGCCCCAGTTACAAGAGAACACCACAAATCAGGTAATGGTTGTGTATGTAATGCACACTTTTAATGGATAAAATAAGTAAATCTTAATTTTCTGTTATGCACTGCTTTAATTCAAATTTAAATGTTAATGAACAGAGCAAAGGGTATAGACACAATTTATGTCTTTTGATGTTCATTTTAATTCAATATATTTTGTATATTTAAGTGTATTTAGTAATCATACACTAAACCAAGCAGAATCAAAGACCTCTTTTGAGCTCTTAGTGAAATTGTTCCAAAACCTGCTTGATTGGCTTGAAAGCCTGATGATGAACAGTGTATTGAGGAGTGGCGGTGCAAGCAGAAGTGTAGGCAGAATTGGCAGCATCAAGATTAGAAATTAAGCCATTAATTTATGAAGAAAACTTCCTGTGTTCCAATAGAATTTGGGCTTTCATAGGGTTTTCAAGTGAAAGAGCTATGAGGTCACATCGAAAGATTTGCCAGAATGAAGCCAGTGGTGCAGAAGGAGAGAGGAGGAAGAGGCTATTCCTTCTCCTGACATTTTAGGAAATATGAAGCTGGAAGTTTTTGTTGTTAGGATTCTTATGTTTTGCCAGAGAGGAGGGTCTCTTTAGGACATATTAAAGCAGGTATCTCCAGGTGGAAGCTTACCTTACCTCTGTCCTTTCTATCCGATGTCTTGTTTGACTGAAGAAATTGGTGTATTTCTCATCCTGCCCCTTTGCTATATATCTTTCCTATATGAATATGTTCTTTTTAGATTTTGAAAGTGACATAGTCTATGGTAGCCATGCAAGTTAAAAACTTGAGAGCTTGTCATTTGTAGGAGATGAGAGACACCCAGCAGAGATATGTTCTATGTGAGCTAAGAGTTGTGTGCTGTCTTCACGAGTTTTATTATGAAAAGGAGCAGTGTCATGGAAGCTTAAGTAACTTGCACAAGTACACGTTCTTGGAATAGATGGGGAAACCCCAAAGTTTTATTCTATGTATCAAAATACCTGTCTGTATGCTCTTATTCCTGCACTAATTTACTGTAATTTGGCCCTTCTATATTGTTAGATACAGAGGGTTTTCCTGGAAACTTTCCTGGAAGTTTCCCAGATAAAAAAGGTATCCTGAAATATGAAGAATGTGTATTGATACAGTATTTCTTAAATGTAGTATTAGTCAGGTCTGTATGAATGTGCTTCAAAATAGTGGACAAGAAAGAACTTTCTACATTGTCGTTTTGCAGAGAAGCTGTTTTATTTAATAAAGTGATTCTTGAATTTATCTTTGAGTAAATTCAATTATCCAGTCATGCACAAATGAAAAAAAAGTTGATTAATATCATTCAATATATTTTTGTCACAGAGGTTTTACATATTTTTGCTTAATAGTACCGTACTTTCAGGGGGTATCTTTTCCACCAATGGTCCTTGAAAAGTTAGAGATCTGATCTGTGACATAGATAAATGTCTGTTCATGTGTGTTTGCCTACATTTTCCGAAAATAAGATGATCCTTAAAAATGCAAATGATCACATATGCACCCATTGGGTTTTAGGTGCTAAGGTGCTTTTTTTCAGTCCAGCTTCATGCCTGCCGTATATTTTGTGTTCTCCAACTGTTTCCTATCTGTTGTATGTCAGCATAGTCTTCTGAGATTATGTTGTTGTAGTTTGGGTTCTTGCTATTGTTTAGCTTAATGACCCATGATGCTCTGCCAGCCGATATCAACAGGCAACAGATTACTGACTCAAAAGTGTTAAAGTGTTCCACATCGTAATATGTTGCCTGGCAGTTAAAGTTTTGCAAATCGAAGATTTGGTTCACTTGCCATTACTTTCTTGCTCCAGCGGGGTTTGGAAATAGTATGTACATTATAATTATACTTTATCATAAAGAAAACTAAATGTTATTTTATTTGGTTGTAGTTTAGAAGGTAAGTTGTTCCTTCTAGTGACATTGTCCTTTGGAAAAGGAAATTTCCGTATTTTTTAAGTCTTATTTTGACCTGTTTCAGTAATAACTTTTCTGTGGAAGTGCTGAATTTTTACGGTGTAGTGAATTCAGAATTCCTACACCACTGATGGAAGAAAAAAATTTGAAGTCCATGGTATGATTTAGGTTTTAAATGTTGTCAGAGGAAAGCTCTATTTAACTGAAATTTACCACTATCCTGATGTTCTAAATAATGTTATTTTCACTTTTTTTCCCCTACAGAATTGATATTGCTGCCATTTTGATGTCCACTGAAGATATGCTCTGGTCAGTTTGCAGCTCTGTACCGGAGTTTCTGAATCCACAAGAAGATAGAGATCTCAAGATCTATAAAATACATAGCCACTGCAATAGTCTGCTCTCTGTGCTGGCTATTTTAACTTCACCACTGAAGAATTTGTATGAGTGAGTATGAAAGAAACATTCAGTTTGAGATAAAATTAATTCTTGAGCTTAAACAGATAGATCTAAAAGGTGAATAATTGTGTTGAAATACAATTGCAATGCATAGTATTGACGCATTTGGATAACCTTTGACTATTTTTTGATTTAGTCTTGATCTTATATTTATGATCTTACCTAAAGCCCAGTTATATCTGCTGGGATTTTACTAGCTTTGGATCAAACTCCCGTGCTGCACATTTTTTGTCTGGTGATAACATAGACTATAGTGAATGTCTGTTATGATTTCCTCTGCAACACAATCAGTAGAATTTCATTAATAATTAGTTTCTCAAATTTGCAATGTACTGTTCAGTTAGGACACATTTTGTTAGAAACACATTGTTATCGATCTAAAAACTTTTACCACTATGGTACCAAAGCCTTTGGTAGGGTTTTCAAGGCCTTAGTCACTCATACAATTTAAAAAAATTCATCTTCTTACTAGTTTAGATTTATCTACCTTTAGCTTCCAGGTAAATTAGAATGTTCTGCTGTCATCCCATAATAATTTTGTAAGTACTGGAATTTAATGATAATGTACTGAAATTATTGTCTGGTCATATGACCAGTATGATTCAACAAATATTAAAGCTTTTAAGCTTCTTTAACTAAGTCTTTTTTGTCATATGTGAGCTCATTTTAATGTTTGTGGGCTCTGAGGAACATGCAAAAGTGCATTGTAACTGGATGTTTGATCTTACACAATGCAGGCTCAGGAAAAAATAGCGATTAGGAAAGTGGCATACGATCAGATTAGGTAGTCCTGCTGTGGCAATAGTAATGGAGGCGGGAATGGACATTGCAGTAGCAGTAACTGCTTTGACATTTCACCTTTCCTTTATGAAAGCAGTTAGAAAGATGGACTAAAATAAATATATAGTATAGTCTGTTCCTTTTAACTGTTCTGGTCTCCTCCACTAATCCACGTTGTTTACAGATTTGTTTGTACCTGGAATGATAAAAAATCTGTGCTAACTTGGGAACTCACAGAGTTTCAGAACAAAGTGCCAATGGAGAGAGTGAGGCAGCATATTTTGTGTTTTATGTAAAATGCTACAGATTAACAACTTGGTCATGTATGTTTCATGTTTAGGCATATAAATTTCAGTATCCTAATTTGTTTTTCTAGAGATTAGAAAGTTTACATGCGCAGGATGTCGCAGCTCATTTAATTTACTACAGAGTACTCTGCAAATCATAACCAAAATCTGGAAGCTTTGTTTAAGAATAATACCGAAGATGTCATATTTTGTTATATATAATACTACTACTAAAAAACATTGTTAGAAAGATGATGCATGGTTTTGTGTAAGTAAAAAGGGATATTTTTTATGAACTGTGTATTCAGAACTTTTATTTTCAAAACCTGTGAGACTCCATTATCAAAACTTTTCTTTTATATTGTATGTTTCATTACAGCCAATATTTGTCATGTAACCTACCCCAGTATCCAGAATACAAAGAAAAAACAGATTTACCAAATTAGCTTCTTGAATGACTCTACCCAGTTGGAAACACTTTCATATACTGAATTTTATGTTGAATTCCTTGGTCCATTATTTACTGAGTTGTGCATAGTTCATCATGTTAAGAATCTATCAATAACAAATTTAGAAGTTATGCATTATTTTAAAGGAATACTAATACTTTGTCAGTTCTCTTTACAATTACAGCTGTATAACAAACATTTCCATCTGTTAGCTTGGCTCTATATCTTTCAAAACTTAGGTAAAATTAACTGGAATTGAAATAAAGATTTTTCTTTTAAATCCATCATGCTGTCCTTTGGTACTAGAAGATTTCCCTGCAGGGTCTAGGTTTAAATTAATCTTTAGGCTGCTCAGGAAAGTTTTGTGTAATCATAAAAGCTGTAATGACAGAACATTGTTTTCCAGGAGTTGTCTAATAATACGACTGGCTCATTTCCAGCTTACTAGAGATGCTATATTAACTATTGCTTCCAGGGAATTAAAATTATACAAGATTCTTTATTATGTTGTTGAAATGCAACAAAATAGTAGGGGGGCTGAAAAATTAGTAATGTCCTTAACTTATAAAAATTATAAATTATTCTGGCGTATGCTTTCTCCTTCCTAATTTTGTGATCAAATGTTGTGCATTCTGCTATCACTTACGAGTTTCTTTTCTGTAGGAGAAGGCTACTTAGACTTGGTCCTACATTCACCTATAAATCTTGATTCATCAGGTTTTAATACTCATTTTTCTGTCCTTCGTTTTCCTCCACCCTTCTCTGGCCTTCCTGAATTAACTTTAGCATGATAGAAATGTTAGTTGGAAAGGACTGCTGGACGTCATCTAGTCCAACCTCCTGTTCAAAGCAGGACAATCACCAAGAGTAGTCAGACACAACTGTGTTAGCTGACTCATGTAAACCTCCAGGAACTGAGATTTTACAGCCTCTCTGGGAAACCTGTTCCATGGCTGCACTGTCTTCTTGCAAAGTTTTGCCTAATATCTAGTGTGAACCTTCAAAGCTGCTGGCTATGGCTTACTGTGTGACACCAGTCCCCACTAACAAAAGTTTGTCAATGTTGTCTTTATAATTACTTCTTGGGTAGTTGTAGGCTGCCATTAGATGGCTCAACCATTTAGCCACCTCTTCACCAGGGTAAAGGAGCCTAGATCCCTCATCCTCTTGTCAAAGATGATGCAGTCTAATCCATTCCAGTTTCCTCATGGCCTCCTTGAGCTGTAGGCCCAACACCTGGACAAAGTATTCTAGGTCAGGCTTAGACGTTCCCAAGTAGATGAAGCGATTCACTGTCTTTAGTTTGCTTGGCATACTCCTCCTAATGTAGTCCCATCTGTGGTTTGCCTTGTTTCTAGTGAGAATAGATAGTTGCCTCGTATTCAGCATCCTACTGGCCATAAACCCCAGGCTTGGGGTTGGCCAGGATTGGTACTCAGACAATCAGTTCCCAGCCTAGGTTATTATAATTCTGGTGCTGGAGCAAAAAGTTGCTCTTTACCTCAGTGAACTTTGTGAGTTTCTGTTGGTCCAGTCGTCCATGGCTTGGCACTCTACTGTTCGTGGTGTTAACTACTGTGCCCACTTCCCCCTGTTTAGTGTCACCTGCAAATGTCCTAAACGTTATGTTCTGTCTGTCCACTTTTCTCGAGGTTGTTTAGGAAGCTGCTGAACAACAGCAGTCCCCAGAGTGTGCTCCCCAAAACTACCAGGTTTTGCTATTTTATTGCTGTTGACCCAAAGCTTTCAAAAAAGAGGATTTTCATCCCTCAGAAATTCCAGACATTGTAGTCTTACTCACTGACAAGGTGGTTGTCAGTTGCTCAGTTCAAGTACCTGGATTTTGTGCTGTCTGGATCTGACAGTTTCAATGCTGCTTGTGGATTTCATAAGAGAATCCAATGCTGTTCTTCATTCATTATTTTTTACAGAATGAAATTATCCAGAAGAAGCAGGCTGGCAATGTGCAGCACAACAGACCCATTTGTGACTTCGGAATAGAGTCTGTCTTCTGCACCAGGTTGAGGGTTGCTCAAGTTGGAGCAGATCGATTCTTGTTCCTTTCTTCTATGTTCTTTAGTCTTTTGTACTGAGTAGGAAACGACAATTTTTCTGTTAGGGAAGATCATAAAGAGTTAGGTGGATGCATCATTTTGTGATTTCATACTGTGAATTATTGTATGTCTTACTTTCTCAACAAGAAATCAAGTTAATGGCTTGAATGCTGAGAGGAGAATTTAGAGATTCTATTGGTAAAATTGCTGCCTATTGGGTAAAAATATCTGTCACTTAATTTTAAAAACTGAAATATTTATCTTAATTTTAATATATGAGTTATAGTTCATGAAGTTGCTCTTTAGTCGTGTTTATTCCTTATACAGAGCTAAATCCTTCAAAGTCTACAAGGAAATACCATTAGGATGCATCTTCTTGGCATCTCATTTTTTCACACCTGCACTGACTTACAAGATCAATTCTCACCTTGTCATACTCTACTGAATAATAAAACTACTGTAACTTGGAATCTTGCTGTGGTATTAAATACTTTCACAGATGCTATCCACTGCTTTGAGACTATAGGCAGCTGCTTTAACATAGCTTGTAGTCAAAAAAAATTTCCTACTAGCTATTATTATAATTCTGTCAGAAGGGCGGTTGAATTAAACTGTCTGGCACAGAATTGGGTTTTCCTGGCAAGAATTACATAGCCAGCAGTGGAAACTGAGAAATGCTGGCACCAGAATTATTGTATTATTATTAGACACTTGATTTTGTATAGTACGTGCAGCTATTCTAATAGTTAAATAATCTTTAAAACCCTCAGAGTATCTCTATCTCAGTTTAAGAATTGGTGTAGAGGTTTTGTAATAAGCCTCAAAGTCCAAAAGTCTGCCCTGTGCTTGTCCTTAGGAGACAGCTAAGAAACCATACTTTGCAAGCTGCTTTAGCCCAGAAGTCTCTTAAACTGTTCATATACTATCAGTAGACAAGATGTTGTCTTTTTTTTATTAATTACTACCCAAACTGTATCTATCATGCTTTCTTATAGGAAGCTGGCTCTATGGTTTGCTATATTAAGAAAAATATTTCAGAGGATGAGAGACAATAAGGTTTTTTCCTTTAATTTTCTCACAATGTTAAAATTACTGTCTTTAACATAATTATTTTCTGGTTTAAGTTCTCCCTTTATGTAGTTTAAGTTCTCCTTTTATCTATGTTGCAGTCTCAGATTTATTTTTAATCTTCAGGTTTTCATGAATTCACAAAGAGCACAAATTCACTAAGTCCTAATCCTTCTGCTCAGATATGGCTTACTTAAGATCATTTTGAAGTCTGTAGTAAATTCTTCCTACTAATTTTGTTTGATTAGTAAAATTAATTTCCAAAGAAATCACCCTATCTTTCAGAGCAGTTTAGAATCTATAAAACTGTATTTCTTGTTGAACAAGTGTTACTCTCTTATCTTCTTTCATCCGGGGTCTTACAGGCAGACAGTGTAGCTACACTTCTAAATTACTTATATGCAGCTGTTAAAAAAGTTAAATTTTAAATAATAAAATGACAAAACACAAATACTATTAATGCTGTGGTGACAAAGCACCCTATAACAGGAGATTTTACCTTTTAGGTTAGGAGTTCCTGAAGGCTATATACAAATAGGTTTCCATTCTGTCTCCATTTTTAAAGGTTTAGATCTGCTAATGTCATGACAGCGGCTTTTTTTATGTCTTGTAAAAAGTTTCTCTTGTCCTGAGAAAGTCCTCATGTCTTTTCCTGAGGTACTTTAAAATGTCCTTCTACTCTTACTGCAATAGAAAGATTACCAACTCAAAAGTGGGAATGGCATTGAATCACTGCAGGAAGTAAAGCAAATGTGCAATAAATGAGTTCTGTAGAAGAGGCATTTTTAAAGGTGGTCACCTTCTTTGTATAACTTAGAAAATCCCAGCCGTGATACATAAAGAAACAAGCTTCAGAGGAGGAAAGTTATTAAGATGAAAAATTCACAGCCAAGTAGTTGAAAAGTAAGGTGCAAAAGAAGTGATAATTGATTACGGTTAATGGAGGATGGATGTAACAGACTGTATCCTCTCTGCTGGAATTGTATTCAGTGTAAATGAGAGTAAAAAGGGAAGAGGCCAAGGGGCATCCATTCCTTTCACACATTATTGCATCCCAGTGGTTGCTACAGAATTGTACACATACTAAAGCATTTATTATTTTTTGTTATGAAATAATAATTAAAGAAAAATATTAAATTCTATAACCCTGTTATTATAATTATGTTTATTTTATAATCATGTAATATCGTTAATTAATAAACGTCATTAATTTTTAGTATCGGTGGATTGCACACATCTGATTTTTGCGTCTCACATCATTTGGGTAAGAGTAATAATGCAGAAGTGGCGTAAAACTAGCTTATCTAATTCTTCACCAGTCCTTATATTTGAAACAGCTTTTTTTTTTTTCAACCACTATTTCTTACAAGCCAGTGAAGGTCCAAAGCTTCTGGTTCAAATTTTTGGCCAGTTTAACCCAAAGTCTATTTGTACTTACATCTTACTCAAAAGAGAACCATTATCGTTTCAAAAGATATTTTACTTAAGTAAAATAAGTGTTGTAAGTATTGATAATATGATGCATGTATTATGAGAAAGGAGATATAGAAATTAATGACTGAAGAGCAATTTGCTTCTTCAATGCATTTTCAAACATAGTTTGAAAATGTGCTGTATAGGAGCAAAAATATGAGGAAAACTGCTTTAACAGTACTAACAGCACTAGGTAGCAAGTTTCAAAGAGTGAAAGTAAGATATAGAATGACATTTTGAATAGTATAAGATAAATAAATTTGCAATTATGTGTAAGCATACATATATTAATATCATTTATCTTAAGGGATTTTCTGTATTCTATTTATATATATTTAGTACTAATGATCCAAAGGGATTTTCAGTCTTCCATGCAATTCAGAAGTATTTGGGTTTTTTTTCAGGACATTTCTGAACAATTCTGATGAACATCTTCCTCAAGATTTTTCAAAAGTCTTTTATCATCCATTACACTGGTTATTTTGCATACCATCGTCCTGTTCCTCCTTATTGAAGTGAGTATCAAAAGTTGATTGTTGTAAAAGAACCACCAGATAGTCAATAATAATCAAATACTGTTAAAGCATTTTGAAAACAGTGTACCTGAATGAGTCTAATTAATATTCTGATTTAAAAAAAAACATAGAAACATTTTTTTAAATTCATTGCAAATTTCCCTAATCTTTAAGAGTCCTTTAGAAAGGTCACGCACAAAGCAATGCACTGTGTAGCTTTTTGCTAGTATATTCATTATATTTGGTATTTGAATTATCTGAAAGGTTTTCTGTTTTCTTTCTTTGATTAAAAGTATATAGCTCTTGAAAATAATGTAGTTCAGCACAGTTGCTATTTTGAAAGACTTATAATTAAAGGGGAGATAAAGAATGTATGCCTCTGTTTATGACTGCTGGTTAAAAAAAAAAGGTTTGATATATAAATAACCCATTGAAAAATACACTGCTTGATCGTAGTTGATTTTTTTGGGAGATTACTGCATGATTAGAGGCAAAAGCTTAATTTCTTTTTCTGTGTCACTGCATATAATGACGAGTTACATATGAGACATATGCTACCAGCTGTGCTGTCATTCCCTTTCTAATTTTGAACCTGAAGCACTCCCACACCAGTGTAGATCCTCTCCTAACCCCTTCACCTCCTCCTCTTCAAAAGTTATTTCCTGAGAGATTTTCATGAAAAGCTGCTTTGGTGAATTGTTACTGTGTTTTCTGAGAAAATATTTTTATGCATTGGAGGAATACATTATCAAATGAGCGGTGACCTGTTGATGATCAATGTGCTGTGGATTTACTGCCTCTTACCTTATACACACAGTATCTTGTACCTTATACATCACAGTATCTTCCCTATGATTTTCCCCCATACTGCACAAAACATGCGGATTGCTCTTCATAACCTTCACTCCTAACTATGTGTCAGCAGTAGTTAGCTCCTTCCCTGGTGCTTCTGATACCTGCTGACCCAGAGGCAATAGATGCTGTAACTGAGTCAAAGTTGCATGGCTGGCTAACCAAAAATGCCGCGTGGAGTGAATGACTGTTGAATTCAGAACGTGTCCTTTTCCCTGCTTGAAATAGCAATTTAAGTTTTTCTAAAGCTTGAAAAATCATATGTTTTTATCTCCCAATCGATCTTCAAGGAAATTTGTTAGTGGCTTTATGAGCTGTGCATGGGTGGAGAGAAAGGAGAGGAGAAGAGGGGATATAGGAGAGGGGATGACTGCATGATCACTTTTAAAAAGGGATCTGCTCTGTTTTGGGGGAAACTTATGCTTCATTAACGACTTGCTGTAGAACAGATGATAAGCTTTTTGATGCCCTAATCCAAAGCCAGTACTCAAAATTTAAATTATACTGCAAATTATGAATTTTGGAAGATGACTTCACAAGTAAGTACCCTCTGCTGTGTAAAAGTATGTGAAGGAAATGCTACTACTTTTTCAGTCTGACTTAATTCTCTTTTTTGAGGTGGAATTAGGATTTGACAAATGCTATTTAGGACAGATCTGTCTTGAATAAATAGCAGAAAACTATTCCAGAGCTATACAGCATTTGGATCACCTTGACCACCAAATGGGAAAATGAAGAATCCGAAAGAAAGCACATCTCTGAGAAGATATAGTTAGCTTACCTGTGTGAGGATGGTCCGTATATATAAACCCATGTGTCCTGGTGATAATGAGTGAACTATGCTGGTAAAATACTTAATGTTTTCTTTTAACAATGCACCTTTCAGCTGCCCAGAAAAAGCAATGAAAGACCCTGTATGTAATGAAGTAATTTGAGGGACATATTCTGAGGTGTTCTAATTTTGTTAGCAGTTTTACACTGTATATTTATGTCATGGAAGCTTTTATTTCTTGAAATACTGCATTGAGAGTATTAACAAGACACATTATGTTTAAGTACTGCAGGAAACTATTTTTTTAAGAGCTTCCTAATTCTTCCTGTATTGTTTTATGTTTTTACTTCTTACATCTAACAGAAGTGTATATTCACTGTCCATAACAAAATTGGAAGCATAGACCATTGTATACCTCCCAGCTATGGCTACCTAATTTTTGACTGAAGACTCTAACCTGGCACTGTTTAACCAGATTTACTACATTATTTTTCATGCCTAAAAATGGCTAGTCTATTTTCTTCTATCTATTTGACTTCAACATCTTTGTCAATGTTGTTAACATGAATTAGCATTGATGTTTATTTGCCTTGTAAAACCTTGAACTTATCATTTAAGGTTTTATTTTTTTCTATCTTGGGTACTAACCAAAATAACATAGTTGGTTATCAAACTAAATAATTAGTGATAATTTATATTACGGTTCCTTTAGGGGTAATTGCGATTAATTCTTTGCTTCACTTGGGGTTTATAATCATACCATTTGCAAATCAGAGTTCTGTTTTTTTTTTCTTTTACTGTACAAAACTGAACATTTATATGTGTGATATTTATATGTACTTCACCTTTTGTCACTTTTTATGAGGCTAGTCTTATTTTCACTAGTACTGAGCTATGAGGATGGGAGAACATATGCCTCTCCATATGCACGTTACAAAACTTCTCAGTGCATTTATTGGTGCTAGCTTCATGGCTGTAGGGAATGTCTGCTATATTTTATTTTTCCTCCAAGTGAGTCACACCATTGTACATTTCAATTTGCAAGAGGCTTAAAGAGCCAAGAAGTGGTGTATATTACAACATGATAACTTCCCATCTGGTCAATGACAGACAAGTTTTATTTCAACTCAGATATTCTAAAAATGGCATTTATTTCTGAAGTAATTTAAAATATTACCCTTCATAAATCTAACTGACCAAACTTGTCCCTTTTCTTATAGTTTGAAGGCAATGAATGACCTTATTAGATATGATAACCTGGCATGCAAGGGAGAAACAAAATGAAACTGGACAATATATTTGAACTGAATTAGTGAAGTGTTGAGTTTACTCTCATCCACAGCACTAGTTCTAGTGAGAATATAGTAATTGTTTTAATTTAAACTTTAATTACTAATGACTAATTAGTTCTTAACAGGCATTAGGGTTTTTATATATATAACTAATCTTGAACATACAGAAATTAAGATACTACTATTGAGAATGCAAAGCCCTGATGTTGAAAGTTTGAATGCAATATGTGTTTTAAATATGAAAAAGTTATTTTGGCTGCAAGTTCTATTAAGATTTAAATGTGTGGGCTTATATGGAAAAATACAATTTTTGAGCCAGTGCTACATTATCAATGATTATATATAATGTACCAGATAAAATCACAAAAGCTGTACGTAAGTTTTCGTGGCGCGTACATTGCTTATCAACTCATAGGCATTTGCTTTACTGTTAAAATCACAAAGGCTGAAGTGTATAAAATCCTCCTTTACTAAAATGGCTTTTACAGTATTAACTGTGAATTTTTGACATAATAGTGGGATGTAAAGGTCTTGCTGGGAAATGGGGTTATGGAAGCTTGTTTTCCTTAGGATAGTTCAAGGTTGCCCTGCAAGATATGTGGCATACTGCTTTTCTGGTATGGAAGCAAGCGTGCATGTGAAGGACTAAACTAGAGGAGTACATCAGCTGACATCTTCCTTTCCAGGCTTTGTAGGTTTCTATTAGATACATTGTCTACATAGTGACCTTGACTGAACAGCAAAGTTTTTGTGCAATCTTCTCTGGGTTTTTTTGGTGTGTGCACATGAGCGGGGTTGGGTAGTGGCACACTTGGCCGAGTCAGATGGCCATAGAAGTGTGCAACTTAATTCTTAATTAAGAAATTCCCCTCAGTTAGAACAGCTGCATGAACGCATTTTAGTTCTGACCCGATAGTTGTGTGTAAATGGCACATAAAGTGTATGAGCAGAGGCATATAAATCCTTCTCCAGTCTGACGGGAAAATGTAGCTCCTGATGAAGAAGGCTTTAACTGATGCCGAAGGTGATGGGTGTGTACTGGCAGATAGTGTTTATGCCTGCATAGTTAACGCATCAGTGCATATGTAGTTTTTACACTGGTGCATGTAGAATTTATGTGCATAAAAGTTTACATATGTGGTGCATAAACTTTCAGTGTTAGCAGCTATTTTTGTATAAACTTGTAGCCAAAGTGAATAAATACATTGGGTAAACATCAGTTGAAAGTCAATGTCAAAACCTTCAAAATAATGAAAAATTAAGCTTTCAAGGAAAAAGAATTACCCACAACTCTGTTTTGAAAACTCCTTTTTAAAAATGTTTCTAGAAGAAAATAGTAAGTACAATGGGTGGTAAACACCTTACAGGATGAGATCTTTTTTTTTTAATTTTATTTAATTGCTCCAATGTGAGTTCAACAGTTGGTGTTGGCTCATTGGCTGAGTTCAGAGGAAGCCCTGGAATATTTTTGTTTGGAAACCTAAACTTTGGCAGAACATGGAAGCTGCAAAAAGAAAACAAACTGCAGTCTCCTTAAAAGCTAATGACTTTGCTTTCTCACTTCTCCCTGCTGGCAAAACAGTTACCTAGTCTAACATTTCAGAGGGATTTTTCAGGACACGTAAGAATTGGTCAGCCTCATGTGGAATTTTGCAGCCCTTTTGAACATTCTCTCTGTTTTTCAATTAAGATCTTCATATACATCATCAAGGACACTTCAGAGCTGTTACTAAACAATTAATGTAATAGTGAACTAAACAATTAATAGCCTTAAATTTATTGAAGCACAAAAAAAATTCCTTTTTGCCTGGTAGAGCAAGGCAAACATGGTTCCATGAAAGAGAGAAGTGAGATTGCTTTGTATCAGTTATAACTTTGGCAGACTACCAAATGTTAATTTGCTTTTAGCTAGTTGAGATTAAATGTAATTCCTTCCCAGAGCTGCCTTAAAGTAAGCAAGCATGAAAGCATTCTCAGAGTAATCTGGGAGGAATTGACATTTAAGGGAGTTAGCATTACATTTGCACTTTAAGGATATTAATTTCATAGATAAATTAACTACATTATTCTGTCTTTATCTTACATTTTGAAAGGACTCCATCAGCCAGAGAAATGGCAGCCCAGGGTCAGCTGAAACTGCTTCTATCCCAGCCATACTGTAATTTGAACTTGCTTTTGGAAACATTGCTACATCATGATTGTCTCTTAGTGAAAATTTTACTGAGAAGTTCAGGTAAGCATTTATAGAGTCAACCCTTACGGGAATATCAGC